AGAGAGAGAGAGAGAGAGAGAGAGAGAGAGAGAGAGAGCGCTCCAACCACAACCAAGCACCTGAAGCAGAAGGCAGAGGCCATGTGAGGACCGCCTAGTAGCCCCTGGGAATGCCAGCAAGGAAAGGGTCAACACAGGGGAGGTCCCAGCCTGGGCACTTAGCCTCCCTGCAGCCTGCAAGTAAGAAAACACACTTCTCTTCTTGAGAGCCCCAGATCCCCAAATGGGGCTGATCATTAGAATTACTCGGGGATCTGGTGATACTCCAGAGGTCTGGGCTCTTATCTTCTCTAGGGGGAGGAGCCCAGGGAGCTGTCCTGTCATCAGATTGCTAGGTGATTGATTCCAGGCATCAGTCAAGTTAGAGACAGAGGTTTACCATCCCCTTGTGGTATTTCTGTTAAAACTGTCTGAGGAAATGAAGATACCAAGAACGCCCCCGCCAGGCTCGCTGCCGTCAAGTCAATGCCAACTCACAGCAGCTCTGTAAGACAGGGTAGAACTGCCCCGAGACTAATCCTTTCCGGGAGAAGAGTCCAGGCTTTCTCCAGAGGAGCGGCTGGTGGTTTCAAACTGCTGACCTTCCTTGCAAATCGCAGCCTAGCACATATCCACGACGCCCCCAGGAACTAAGACAACATATAAACACTGAGCCTCTTTTCCTAAAACAAACACCTTCACCCCCAACGCCATCAGACAGGGCTGAACAAAGTAGGTCCCCAGGGAGGGGAGGGAGGCAATGGTGGCCAAGAGGCGATTCTCACAGCCTGAGCAGGATGGGGCAGGGATCAGCTCAGCCTAGGGAGTCCGAGCCCAATGGGACGTCCACTCATGAATGCAGCCGAGTCAGGGATGCGGTGTCACAGCCTGGATCAGGTGCAAACAGCTGATAGCACAGTGGTGTTCTCAACCTGGGGGTCGTGACCCCTTTGGGGGAGTTGAACGACCCTTTCGTAGGGGTCGCCCAATTCATGACAGTAGCAAAATGACAATTATAAAGTAGCAACAAGAATAATTTTATGGCTGGAAGGTAACCACAACACCAACTGTATTAAAGGGTCGTGGCATTAGGAAGGTTGAGAAGGACTGTGATAGGGGGAATTTGAGGCTGAGCCAGGTTAGTACTCAAGGGATGAGGTGGCGATAACGAGAGAGTGGTGACCTATGGGGATAACTAAATATATTGAAACAGGAGCCAGGTTCCTACCGTCAGTGAGACTAGAGAGAAAAGGAAAAAGATGTGCCAACATCTATAAAATGGAATACATACTACTCAGTAATAAACAGAGCAAGCTGAGACACAAGTAGTGGGGTGGGAGGGTGAATTTCAAGACTTTATGCTAAGTGACTACCAGAAAGTCAAACGAATCAAAAGATCGCAGGGAGAGAAGACAGTGAGACTTTGGCTCATGGAGTTTGGACATGTTATCATCAGGAGGACCAATCCCTAGAGAAGGACATCATACTGGGCACAGGGCAGCGATAATGTGACTCTTCACGCTATGGTCTCTTTAACTCCCACCAAATGGCCTTTTCCTGATGGGTGGGGGAAGATGGGGGAGGACACAAACATCAAGAAGATAGGATTCAGACGCATGCTTGTGAACATGTTCCGTCTGACTGGCTTCCTGCGGCAGTTAAAAGGCGCTATTTTAGAAGGGAGAGGGGAGCTCACTGCCAGCAAGAGTCAGGAGGGGAGCATGTCCTCTGGGCTCCGAGAACCCTGCACAGTGAACCTCCTTGATCCAGCTTTGGTATGAGGAGTGACGGGGGAGCAGCAGGGCTGAGAACCAGAGCCAGAGCCAGAACGGTGGACCCCAGCCCTCAGAGCAAGTGAAAGGGCTTTGGGGCAGAAGGCTGCTTAGTAGAGGTGCCTCCGAGCACTTAATTAGGGGAGCCAGGTGTCTGGTTCGGGGCTTACTGGATGGGGCAGTGCCTTTGGGCACTTAACTGAGGGAGCTCGAGGGGAGCGCTGACTTCGGGATGAGGCATGCAGCAGGGCGGCATGGCTCTGGGGCAGTATTAGCAGCACTGAAAGAACGCTGTCACCTGTCCTGACTGAACAATGAATCAGTGACTTCCACAGTAGACCCCATGACCCTGAGCACTGTCTGCGAGTTCGGTGTGGCCCTTGCAATGAACTCGAGAACCGAGCAGAGCAGGAGAGTCTTGTCCGAGCACTCGGGAAAGCAGTCACAGACAGGGGAAGACCCTCACGGAGAGAGTGCCTCCGGGGCTACGGCAATGGTGAGGATGGGGCAGGGTGGGCGGTGTTTGTGCCCGGGGTCGCTAGGAGTCCGAACCTACTTGAGGGCACCCAGCAACAACATGTGGCATGAAAGAAACTAAAAGCATGCTATGATTCTAGTCACGGAGCTGTAGACAGCGTTCTCAAGCTGTGGTCGCAACCCCTTTGGGGGTTGAACGACCCTTTCACTGGGGTCGCCCGATTCTTAACAGTCGCAAAATGACAGTGATGAAGTAGCGACGAAAATAATGTGATGGTTTGGGGGGTCACCACACGAGGAACTGTCTGAAAGGGTCGTGGCCTTAGGAAGGTTGAGAACCACTGCTGTAGAGCATGCAGAACATGGCCTACTATGGTAAGGTGACCAGACGTCCCGCTTTTGGCGGGACAGTCCCAATTTTTAACACCCCCCCTCCCCAGCAGCATTTTTAAAAAGTTCTGATTTTTGGAAAGAATGTACGACAAGCTAGGGTATACGGTTTTCAGCTGCCATGTGGCTATTTCGCCAGGATATGAGTTTTATCAATGGTGTCCCGCTTTACCAATGTTAAGATCTGGTCACCTTATACTATGGAGGAACACAACTAGCAAGGTGATTGTTTGGTGAAGCAAGGACTGACAGGGAAAGGAAATTAGAGGACTACTGAACTGGAAGACACGAATTGTATGCCAATAAAACTATGGTAGCTATATAATCTGCTGTCAATTTGAGACTTAAAAGCGGAGGGGTGGAGGTTAGCATGTCCATTAGGTTGCAGCTTGCTGACCTCATTTGGAGCTGCTAAGGAGATAAGTAGCTCTCTGGAGGTGGGACACATGCTCACTCCCTGGGAGACA